TCTTTGTTGCCGTAAGAGACCGGCTTGTCCGGTAATGTCGCCTCGATAATCGCGAGGTTGGCCGCCATGAGGCCGAGGCTAAAGCAAGGCGAGAGATCGTGGAGCGACTGGACCGCTGCGGTGTGCTCCAGCGAGAAAAGCTCAATCACCGGCGGCGGGTTCTCCACCGGGTTGACCCGCGATTTCAGAGCCGAGGCGACGAACTCGAGCACTCTCTGCTCCGAATTGGGCCTAGGGTTCAACACCTGTCCCTGGCGCGTGAGGATCTCAGACGCTACGTCCGTTTTCCCTTCCGAAATCGCCGTCGCGGCTTCCATCAGCGATTGCTTCGAGCAGGTCGTGGTGGCGGGAGAAGCCACCGACGACGACGAGGAAGAGGATGACGAGGTCGGCGACGGCGAAACCGGTTTCTGGCTCTGATTAGGGCTGATCAGATTCTGTATCGTCTCGGACCACTCGCTGTTGCTGTTGTTGGTAATCGCAGAGACGGGGTCGCCTTCCTCCTCATCGTTATCATCGAGAAGCTGCTTCTCTAGCTCCTGAAGCCGGTGGTTTATCATCTTCTTGTCGGAATCCACCGCCGGAATCCGATTCTGTACGGCACTGTTCACATAAGCAGCACCTTGCATCGCCGGGGTACTAGGCTGAGGACGGAGCTGCTGAAGGATAGGAAGACCAAACCTTTGAGACGATAACAAAGAAGAATAAGAAGTCTCGGAGGCCGCGGTCGTCGTAGGCGAAAATTCAATCGGAGAAAGAGGGGATATTGGCGAAGAGTGCTGATAAGCCCTGGGTTTGACAGAGCGCAGGTAGTTCACCTGGGCTGGCATATATTGCTGGTGAGATTGGAACTCGGCGAGGGTTCGCTTCCCGATCATGGTGGTGGCGGGGTTGTGGCGAGCGATCCGCGAGGTGGTGGGGTCGAGGAAGAGGCCCGGAAGGTTGGGTCGGCTACCGTAAGGAGGCTGAGAAGGGTTGTTGTTCATGGCCGCGGCGATGGATCGGCCGGTGGCGGCGTATAAATCGGGAAGACCGCCACCGCCCCCGGTGAATCCGGATTGCATTATGGCTTTTTTTCTCTCTTCTTGCTCTTTCTCTCTCTATCCGGGATTTTTGAGAGAAGAAGAAGAAGCTAAAAGAGCTGGCTTTTGAAGAAACGCATGAGAGAGAGAGAGAGAGACGGTTTCTTTCTCTTATGGCCTTTAAATTGATAATAATGGGAAAAATAAATAATAAATTATATAACCAAGGAAGAGAGAGGTTTCCAACTTTTCCACTAGCGCTAAGGCTCTCTGGTTTATGGTTTATGGTTTTTTCTCTTTTTATTTTTATTTTTAATTTTTTGCAGCTGAATCTACGTGGTATATCTGCAGTTCAATCTTATATCGTTAAATTCAGGTTAGCGTGATATTTATGAGTAATGGACGGTGATTGCGTCCGCTCAGATGAACCCTTCATGCACACGCAATGCCTGCTCTTTCCAATTCAAGCCGAAAAAAAAAAATTTCTTCCTTGTCAATAAGGCGTGAAAAACACGTACCAATGATTGGAAGTGTGACTTAGACGCGCCGTTGTTATTAGCGGGACATTTATTCTGTTTTAAGTGAAGGGAGTTTGATCGATCAGCAAAAAAAAAAAAAGTGAAGGGGGTTGATCTTTATTCGGCAGTGATCATCTGACTGGACAGTTACGAACTATTCTAAAAGGCGATCGGCGGAAGCCCGGGAATGCAATCCAGAACACGATGAAAACGACCCCTTGGCCACGTGTAGCGAATAGGAATGAGCCTTCACGAAACGTGAAAGGACGGTCCCGTTACTTTGAAAATTCCTTCCCTGGTTCGCTGATTCGAAATTCTAGTAGCTGGTTTGTCTTAACGGACGATTCCCGGTAGATTCTGATTAGATTACCGACACGAGTCGGTCACTCGAGACTGTACGTCTTAGTAGAGAATTTTTAAAACCTGAAAAGACGAAAGAAAGCTGTCTACGTTGTCAAGCCCCAGCCATTAAATTATCACCTCCGACACACCCAGAATTTAAAAGCGAAAAAATTAAAATGAGAAACCGGAATTTTTGAGTGCGTTTGAAACTTATTTTAAAATAATTTTGGTCTCGTTCATTTTACTAAATTTTCAGTTTTAAGTTTTTATAATAAAAAATTCTTAAAAAATATCACATTTAATTTTTTCTGTTACAGTAAAAGTTCTCAAAAAATGTCACATCTCAACTCAAATTCACAGAGTGAACGAGGCCATATTTTTTATATAAAAATAAAAATAAAGACGTTTTCAATTTTAGACAGAAATTATTTTTAAAAATACGTTTGGTAATTTTATTAATAAATTATTTTCAGTATAAAAAAACTCGTCTCTATCTCTTTTTCTCTGCTCGAGAGATGAGAAAATAAAAAATGACTAAACGTCGTTTTTTATTTTCTTCTTATTTTACATTGAACTAAAAAATCATTTTTATTTCTATTTTTTATTTTTATTGTGTCAAATACCGTTTTAAATTTTTTTTTTATTTTTTCTCAAAAAATGTAAAAAATAAAAACGGGATTAATTTGAAACACAATCTTTATTTTTGGTAAAGAAAATACGATCAATGCTTTTTATGTCGTAAACTTTTGTTCCTTCAAATTAAAGAAACAATTCCAAAGAGACTTGAACTGGAATGACGTAAATGCCATTTGCCACAATATTTTGCCTGGCGTAGATTATTTGTACAACTTGGTCAATATGAGTTAGTTGTTTAGAAAGATAAAGTTCGGTCATCGGACCCCACATAATTTGATTGGCCTATGCTAGGATTTACCCTTTTTAAAAGGATTGCTGAACCCAGCACTATATGATTGTCATTCTACAACTTGGTTGATGGACAAAAATTATATCTTTACCTAGGCAAAATTAAATATTAGCATTGTGAAAACTATTTAAATTTAACCCTTTTATCATAAATGCCGTTATTAGTTAACGTGGTTGACCTAGTCCAAATTGAATTTGGAATTGATCTCTTCCTTTTTTTTATTTCTAGAAAAATAATTGATTTCTCTACATTTTGGACCCTTTTGGTAATGTTTTCAAAATGATTTGAGATACTCAAATGAGTTTGCTTTCAATACAAAAATAAAAATGAGATTATTTTGAGAATTATTTTAGAACCGAATTTAAAATTGCGTTTGATTGACTTTTTAAGAGATTGTTTTGAATATAATAGAAAAATGAAATCGTATTAATTAAAAAATTATAACATTGTTGATAAGTACTAGAAAATGAAAACAGGAAAAAAAAAAAAAACTTTCAACCGTTTTTTTAATTCCTTGACAAAAATCACTTTTCACTATTTTTGTTTTTGTTTTCGTTTTCAAAACATATGCTAAACAAACACGATTTGTATACCGTTTTCATTTTTGTACCTCAAAAAACGTGCAGAAATGTTTTTAAAAACAAACAAAAATTCATTCCAAACGCACCATTGCTTTTCACTATATTTTTATTTTTTCATGTTTTAAAGATCTTTTGATTCTATAATTGCTTATATTCTTATAGTTTTTTTTTTTTTACAATGACTTTGAAAGTATAGATTTTCAGAAGAAAAAAATATTGAAAGAATTTATCTGAACGTTTGAAATCTGACCTCTAAAAAGTTATGGCTAAACAAAGATCTCTGTAGTTGTTTTTTTCGAGTGTTCACACAAATTTGTGAAAACTGAAAATTACGTGTCAGCTTCCCATTACAGGAGCCTAGTGCACGTTTTCCTCCCTTCTTGTTTTCATGATACGTGGTTGGAGCCGATCAACAGTCGAGGTTAAGTTGTGCTTGTATGTAAGGTCATTTGTATCAACATTAGTATTTATATTTATGTGTTTTGAAATACAATTTACATATATATAAAAAAAAGAATTATGTATACTTTAAATTGATAGATTAAAATCCATGTTTGTATGAAGTAACACTGATTGTTTGTTATAATTCATTGAATTCGGAAAATATTCATACATATCGTTATATTTTGCGGTTCATCTAATTAAATAAGACACTAATGAACCATCGCAGAGTATGTGGCTTAGAGTAATATTTCAACTCTGTTCATGTCAACCTTGATATAAGCAACAATGTGAATACAGAGAATCTCAATTATTGAATATAATATTCCAACAAAAAAATTTCAATATATACACATAGAGGATCATTCAAATGTGCATTGTAATAGCTAAGCTTTTGCTGGCCAAAATCCTTTCAACATATACTAACACTTTGCAAAGTATGTAAAAGAAAAAAAAAAAAAAATATATATATATATATATACACACACACAAAATACAATATATACTAATTAGTTTGATTTCTCATTTTACTAAGCGGTTATTTTGAGAAAAGTTTGCCCATCCACCCCACAATTAAATTCTGGCTAGAAACTAATCAAATGTCTTTTTTTTTTTTTTTTTTTTTTTTTTTTTTTTTGCAACAGCTTCATTTATATTAAAAAAGGATTACTGTAGTTGATCTTGAAGTGTCTATGCACTAAATGTATAATGATACCATAAGAATATTTTAAATATGTTATTTTAATAAATCAAATCACAACTCAAATTAAAAAAATAAAATTAATTTTTTTTGTTAGAGTGTTTTTTTCCACTTATAATTCATTTTTTAACTCATTAATCCATTTGTTGTTTGGTAGAGGGATTCGTTCCCTGATTCGAATCATGATTCATGATTCGCTACAGTATTTTCTCTCATAAAAAAATTCACGTAAATTGAAAATGATTTGAATCACATGATTTTGAATCTTCTAACCAAACGTCCGCAGTTTGTGATCCATCACTTTTAAACTAATCTTGATCTTGCATTTCCTTTTGGTATTCCTATCTTATAGTTTCCATTTCCATTTATCATGCTTCTTTTAGTTTCCCAGCATCACAAACCGTTGGATAATAGACTCGTAGAATAATTGAAGAACTTTGACTCATTAATCTATCATTTGTCCACCTTTTTGAACCTCTGAAACATTTTTTCCAATAAAAAAAACAACCAAATTATGGAAAACTGACCCCCTCAAGCTCGGAAGCGCAAAGAAGTGGGTCAACCATGGCAACATGTGATAGAAGAAAATAATAATAAAAAATACGTACTTTTATTAGTCTTCATTTGCCAACACTAACCGAGTTTCTCAGGGTTAATTGTGTAATACTACTGACCAGTTGAGAAATTTCAAGGGAAACCAATTTTGCATTTCGTATTAAGGTTGCGTGTGGGCAAAAAAAATTTGCAAGAAAATTGGTTATCAACTAAACTATCTAAACGACCTTTTTTATCTTTATTTTTTCATTAAGCCACTAGATGTTGACACGTGTCAAATACCGAATATATGTGCCACTTCTCCCTTGCCTAACTCAACCTTCTTTCAGCCAGAAGTATATTATTTCACATCACGTAATTTTGCTTCCCAGAAATGGACATCCCAATTTCCAAATATCCGACTTTACCTTATTAATCCTCACCTGGTTAGTTGATTTAAATTTTATTGGTTTAAACTTTTTGATTTAAACAGAAAAATTCAAATTGTGTAGTTTAAATTGTAGTTTGAATTGACGTTTAAATGTGTAGTTAAAGTTTTAATTTAAACAATAGATAAAATTTGAATTTGTGTTTGGTAAGTATGAAAAGTATAAATAATTGATATTTTTTATTGTTAAAAAATAGTTTGAACGATTGAACTTGAGAGGAAATTAAACTTTAAATTGAACCGTTTAACTCAATTTAAAGAGAAGTATAATTCAAATTATATGCTTATTAAATGTCAGTTTAAACTATACTTACTATACTGAATAAACTAATAACGAAATAAAGAGGGCTTTACTCTTTATAGAGCCTAAAACAGTTCTTGTGATTTGTATCCCCTACCACTCCCAGGTCCCCATCTAGAACAATAACTAAACACGGAGGTTACTTTAGTCATTTTAAACCCAATACTTTATTAGAAATACTGTCTGTTCAGGAGTTGGTGGAGCTAACAGCATAACCGAAAACTCTCTTTATATACTTCAGCCAAAAAAGAATATTTTTTTTTTAAACGAAACACACTTTCTATGGTGGTCGAGAAGGGTGTTTTCGTCATTTCAAGCATGGGGCCCTATTTGGTTACCTCTCTGGAGTTAACGGGGCCGGTCCCGCTTAATTC